TGAAGGTTCAAACCAACCCGGGTGAAGATTCAAACCAACCCGGATGAAAGTTCAAACCAACCCGGATGAAAGTTCAAACCAACTCGGGTGAAGGTTCAAACCAACTCGGGTGAAGGTTCAAACCAACCCGGATGAAAGTTCAAACCAACCCGGATGAAAATTCAAACCAACTCGGGTGAAGGTTCAAACCAACTCGGGTGAAGATTCAAACCAACCCGGGTGAAAGTTCAAACCAACCTGGATGAAGGTTCAAACCAACCCGGGTGAAGATTCAAACCAACCCGGATGAAAGTTCAAACCAACCCGGATGAAAGTTCAAACCAACTCGGGTGAAGGTTCAAACCAACTCGGGTGAAGGTTCAAACCAACCCGGATGAAAGTTCAAACCAACCCGGATGAAAATTCAAACCAACTCGGGTGAAGGTTCAAACCAACTCGGGTGAAGATTCAAACCAACCCGGGTGAAAGTTCAAACCAACCTGGATGAAGGTTCAAACCAACCTTCGTCGCCGACGGTTACGTCGTAGGGTGGTGGCACCCTTCCTGTCCTCCACCCCCCCGCATCCATGGAGTTGTCCCACCTCTCCCATCCTTGTAGCACCATTGGGAAAACTCAACCCTAGAGATGGCCAAGCCCCGGCCTGGATGAAGACGAGGTGTGTTGGGTTCAACGCGGCCGTACCAAGGAGGGGAGGCGAGGAGAAGTTTATTGCAGCCAAATTCTTTATTTTTTGCCACCGCAGAGGGAGCAAGAGCAGGATGTGGAGTCGGGCTGTGCCCGTCTCCATCCCTCAGATGTTGCAGCGGCTTCTCCTGAAGCCCTTTGGACAACTCAAAGAGTTGATTCATCCGAAGATGAACCATAGATGGGCAGGACAGAGGTTGCATGAGGTCACCAAATAACATCACGTGAAAAAAAAAAACAAACAAAAAAACCACCGGTAAATGAGGAAGAACTCAACTCGGTGGGTCCCAACGGGGTTGTGGGACCGTTTCCACCTCATTTCTTCCTTCCCGAAGAAGCCAAGTCCCAAGGGGTGTCTTCAAAACTTGCTCTCTACCCAACGCCATCCACCATTTGGCTGTGGGAGAAGCCCCGTGGTCCCCGTGGTGTTGCTCGATGCCACCAGGAGGAATTACTTGACCACGCGGGGGTGACTTTTTGGGGTCTACAGCCGACGAGTCCACTCTTCCTAATTAATTAATCGGCGTCTCACCGCTGAGCCCGTCACAACAAACGGACGTTCCTCCCCGCGTTCCTCCAGGTGGAAGCAGGAAGAGGTGGAGACTCTACCGGGTCTCTACCCAACGTGGGTCGCCGCTTCTCTACCCAACATGTGTCCTCCGATGGGTAATGAAGTTGGAACAACGGATGAAGCTCTTCCCACAGTCGGGGCACTCGTAGGGTTTCCCTTCCCGGTGGGTTCTTTGGTGTTTAATCAAGGCCGAGCTGACGGTGAAGCTCCTGCCGCACTCAGGACACCCGTAGGGCTTCTCCCCGGTGTGGATGCGTTGGTGGGTCATCAGGTTGGAGCTGCGGTTGAAGCTCTTCCCGCAGTCGGGGCAGCGATAGGGCCTCTCACCCGTGTGCGTCCGCTGATGCCTGATGAGGTCCGAGCTGTTCCTAAACCACTTCCCGCAGTCAACGCATCTGTAGGGTTTCTCCCCGGTGTGGACGCGCTGGTGGATGATGAGGCTGGAGCTCTGGCTGAAGGTCTTCTCGCACTCCTCGCACTTGTAGGGTCTCTCCCCGGTGTGGATCTTCTGGTGACGGATCAGGTAGGAGCTGACGCTGAAGCTCTTCCCGCACTCGGGGCACTTGTAGGGTCTTTCCCCGGTGTGGGTGCGTTGGTGGGACGTCAGGTTGGAGCTTTGGTTGAAGCCCTTCCCGCAGTCGGGGCATTTGTAGGGCTTCTCGCCCGTGTGCAGGCGTTGGTGGGTGATGAGGGTGGAGCTGTCGCTGAAGCTCTTCCCGCAATCGGGACACTTGTAGGGCTTCTCCCCCGTGTGCAGCCGTTGGTGGGTGATGAGGTGGGAGCTCCGGCTGAAGCTCTTCCCGCACTCCAAGCACTTGTAGGGTTTCTCACCGGCGTGTAACCGCTGGTGGACGGCCAGGTTGGAGCTCCGGCTGAAGCTCCGGCCACATTCCTCGCAGATGGTTGGTCTTTCCTCCTCTGAGCTTCGTGGGGTGGGTTTGCAACCTCTCCCTGTGGAGCATCTCCTGGGGTTTTCCTCCTCCCTGTTGACCTCCTGCTCCATGGAGCATCTCCTTGGCTTTTCCTCCTCCTTGTTGACCTCTTGCTCCATGGAGCATCTCCTCAGCTTTTTCTCTTTGTTGACCTGCTCCATGGAGCATCTCCTTGGCTTTTCCTCCTCCTTGTTGACCTCTTGCTCCATGGAGCATCTCCTCAGCTTTTTCTCTTTGTTGACCTGCTCCATGGAGCATCTCCTTGGTTTTTCCTCCCCGTTGACCTCCTGCTCCATGGAGCATCTCCTTGGCTTTTCCTCCCCGTTGACCTCCTGCTCCATGGAGCTCTTCAAAAGAGCCTCTTCCTCAAGGTTTTCCCGGTGGGGTTTGTCCTCCGTGTTCTCCATCCCCATCTCATCACCTGCCAGAGGAAGGAACAAGGAGAGGAAGGGGATTTGCATCCGTGCCAGAGGGAAGGGGAAGGAAATCCTCCCAGATCCGTCTCCGGGAGGACGGTGTCAGCCAACGGGCCTGTCCTACAGCCAGAAGCGATGCTCTAGCTGGAGGATGGAGAAGAGAGGATGAAAGGTCAAGGAAATTCCTCCTCACCTGCCTGGGTATCTCGTAGCATCTCCTCTTCCTTGCAGCCTCCTCTTGATCTGGCCAAGATTTGGGAATGGGAAATCCTGGGGGTTTTTTGGGGGGGAAAAAAAACCCAAGCTATAAGCATGTTCCCCAGGTTTGTTTCCTACCCAAGTCCATCCCTACTGGGAAGTCCACAAGCAGGACACCACGCCCATCTTTTGTCCTCAAGATACGGCCCATCAAACCCTCCAAAACGCCAACAATCGGCCCGTAAAACCCTCCAAAACCCAACAATTGGCCCGTAAAACCCTCCAAAAGGCCAACATTCGGCCCGTAAAACCCTCCAAAAAACAACAATCAGCCCATAAAACCCTCCGAAACCCAACAATCGGCCCGTAAAATCCTCGAAAACACAAACAATTGACCCGTAAACCCCTCCATAATGCCAACAATCAGCCCGTAAAACCCTCCATTACGCCAACGATCGGCCCATAAAACCCTCCAAAACGCCAACAATCGGCCCGTAAAACCCTCCAAAACCCAACAATTGGCCCGTAAAACCCTCCAAAAGGCCAAAAATCAGCCTGTAAAACCCTCTGGAACCCAACAATTGGTCCGTAAAACCCTCCAAAAGGCCAAAAATCAGCCCGTAAAACCCTCTGAAACCCAACAATCAGCCCGTAAAACCCTCCATTACGCCAACAATCAACCCGTAAAACCCTCTGAAACCCAACAATTGGCCCGTAAACCCCTCCAAAAGGCCAACAATCAGCCCGTAAACCCCTCCAAAACCCAACTATGGGCCCGTAAAACCCTCCAAAAGGCCAAAAATCGGCCTGTAAAACCCTCCAAAAGGCCAACAATCGGCCCGTAAAACCTTCCAAAAAACAACAATCGGCCCGTAAAACCCTCCGAAACCCAACAATGGGCCTGTAAAACCCTCCAAAAGGCCAACAATCAGCCCGTAAAACCCTCCGAAACCCAACAATCGGCCCGTAAAACCCTCCAAAACCCAACAATTGGCCCGTAAACCCCTCCAAAAGGCCAACAATCAGCCCGTAAACCCCTCCAAAACCCAACAATCGGCCCGTAAAAGCCTCGAAAACACCAACAATCGACCCGTAAACCCCTCCATAACGCCAACAATCGGCCCGTAAACCCCTCCAAAACCCAACAATCGGCCCGTAAAAGCCTCGAAAACACCAACAATCGACCCGTAAACCCCTCCATAATGCCAACAATCGGCCCGTAAAACCCTCCAAAAGGCCAACAATCGGCCCATAAAACCCTCCGAAACCCAACAATCGGCCCGTAAAACCCTCCGAAACCCAACAATCGGCCCGTAAACCCCTCCAAAAGGCCAAGGTGTGGGGCCAGGGTTATAAATACAAAGTTCCATCCTCAAAAACGGAGGTGGAGGAGAAACGAGGAGCTTGTCCCGCTCGGGAACCGGGGTTATGGGAAGAGAAAACCCAACGTCACGTCCCGCTACAGCTGGAGGGGGGACGAGGGCAAGGTCCGCGACGTCCCTGGCTGGGGCTCAGCCCCAAAATCCTTCGCTCTCAGCCCAAAACCACCGGACGCAGCACCCAGATGTGGGGTGGGACAGAAACGGAGACTCTGATGGAC